TATATATATATATAGACACACACACAAGTATTACAAGTTTTTGCTGGGAATACAAATCAAGTGTTTTTGGTATTCCATGTAGTTTAAGGATTAGATGCACAATGTTAGTTAAAATTATTGCAGAACAAGGTTTGAGTCAGCTTTAAAACATGTATCAGCTGATCAGTTATTAAAAGTTATAATGTAACACTAAATGTTTTTAAACTGGCTCAATGAACTGCTTGTGTGTGTAAATCCTATTATTTGGCACCACAAGGGCTCTGGGGTAGCTTGAATGAATGGATCATAAACAATTACTGCTACTTCAATTTAACACATAATACTAGTTGGGATTGTTCCTTAAGCATCGTCCCATCAAAATGCATTTTCAGCCATTTTGTGTTGTGGGTGTTGAAAAAATGTATTTTTTAGGAGAGTTGTAGTTGAGCTGTATGCTGAAAGAAGGATGCTGTGTTTAATGTTAGGTACACGTTAGTAGTTGAATTTACTATTGAATTATGAATATAGTAATAGTAACGACGAAGTAAAGGTTTAAAAACCCCTCATTGCAAAATAATATTTTATCTTCATATATATTTTTCATGTTTTTTATTGTATCTTTTCCAAATCTGAATCCATAAAGTATCTTTAGACCTTGTGTCACATTATCATTTAGTAGAGTTGAAAATATTCTCATAGTACTATTTTGTCTTTAATGACACTTCATCAGAAATTTAGCTTTGCATTTTTGAGATTTGATGTTAAACAGTGGATAACTATAATATGTTTTATTCTTCAAACTTATGTGTAGTATCTAGCTCCAGAAGTTTTGAGAAAGGAAGCATATGACAAATCTGTGGACTGGTGGTGTTTAGGAGCTGTGTTGTATGAAATGATGTATGGTCTAGTAAGTAACTCTCTGTGAAATTAAAATTAAAGAGAACCCTAAAAACTTATGAGTGAAAGTAATAAAGAATGTATACCAGTACATTACCCACTCTATACCAGCCGAATCCAGTGCTGACAAAGCCTTTTGCTCAATATCAGGGCACTGAACAGCTATGAGGAAAGTTATATGTTTAGTGTGTTAAAAAAATGAATGCTTGAAATTGGTGTGGCTAATCAAATACAACACTTTTAATGAAGGGTGCATGATGTTTTCTGATTTGTTATAAATACCAAACTGTCACTCATGTTAAAAAATATAGTTCAATTAACAAGGTTTTGTAATAATATGAATTGTTTAGATTACTAAACCTTTTGGGTATGATTAAAAGAAATTCACTTGTTGTTATGGTTAGTAGCTTATATGATCATCTGAATTTAATTCATTACCAATTCTATTAATTATTAGATACTATTTATTTTATATTCTGTATTTCAACTACTAATCTGCTGCCATTTTCAGAGAAGTTCTGAGAAGGACTGTTCGTAGTGGAAGGTGTTGGGATTAGATCTTTGGTGTTGTTGTTAGAAAGATTAGTATGCTGTACAGTTGTCTGGGGTAGCATAACTTGGTAATTTTAATTAAAAAGAATTTCAACCAGAACATTATCTAATTTGGTTCCTGACCTCTTTTTTTTGTATTTGTTTGCTACTTTAAGTTTGAATTGATTAATATTTGTTTCATTGTTCTAGGCCTACAAACATATTGCTACTTTTTAAGCATTATTTGGTAACTGAATCAGTATAAAAACATTTTCATTCAAAAACTGTAAAATCTATTTAAGGAAGCTAATCAAAGCTAAGACTTAAAAATTTCTGCCAAGTATATTGTTTTTAATACTGGATTTCTTTTTTTTGTCAGTTCTCATATTTTTTATAGCCAGTGTTTATAATAGTGTTTGTACTTGGGTACAGATAATATTTAATGTATTTGTTGTAAAGGGGAGGATTTTTTTTTTACTTTGTTGTTTCAGTCAGTTACTTAGTCGTAATAAAAAAAGCATGATAATATTTATGTAATGTGTATTTATGTGTAATAGTTTAACTTTAAAATTGTAAAAGTTTTTTTTTTCTTTTTGTGTACATTCATTACTTTTTATTATAAACTTTTCCACATTATGATCCACCTTCTATCATAAACTTTACAGAAAATATATCAAAAGAAGAAAAAATATTACAAGAACTCATGATAACTTATTGTTTAAATATTTTATAATGGCAAAGAGAAAAGGATATTGTAAGAAAATAAATATTTAATTTTTTATTAATTTTTACTCATGTGAGTGTGTGGAACAAAAGTAACTTTTTCAATTTGCATCTAAATAATTTTCTTTTATAAGTTGCATAATTTCAAATCAGAATGTTTAATGATGAGAAATAATTTTGAAACTTAAGTTTAATTTAAGAGTTTGTTTTCTCTTTTATGATGTGTAATTGAATTTAATTAGACATAAAATTACTGACTTATTTTTATACTGTTCTTTACTGGTATTGTGCACATATTGTGTTTTTGGCTGTTACAACACTCAGTGAAAAGCTTCCCATTGGGTCAGTGGTAAGTTTACAGGCTTGAAATGCTTAAATGTGGGGTTTGATTCCCTCCTTATGGACAGATAGCCAGTTGTGTAGCTTTGCACTAAAACAAATGCATCGTAATAAACTGACCTAAATTGGTCAGATGAAATCACTCATTTTCTGTATAAAATACAAAAGGGACCTGGCCAGAGATAATGGGATTAATTGCAATATTGATGATATTTTTATTTGTGTGCATTTGTGTGTTGTATTGTTAGGAACTTTGTAACTACAAAGCTATAGATCAAGAAGCAAGTTGGTGCATAAGTAGTTTAGAAGCATGTTTAAAAGAGGATGAGGTCCATCCATCAGTAATTCTATGGTTAAAAAGTATTTACTTGAACTATATTTTGAATTGAATTTATTTATATCCAATTTGATATTTTATTTTGTATCTAGCCTCCTTTCTACAGTCGGAATACATCAGAAATGTATGATAACATTCTACACAAACCACTCAGACTAAGAACCAATATTTCTGTTGAGGCCAGAAATATTCTCGAGGCAGTAAGTGGCTCTTAATGTACTTCATTTAGATAACTTCATGAATTGCCATTATAATAGCAATTATTTTAGAAAATAAAAGGATTTTTAATGGGCAAGGATTGGTAGGATAGAATTTTTTTTATATGTATCATGCTTACCTTATCTTACAAATGCTTAGATACACGTGAAAGTGACCAGAAAATTATTACAAGAATGTCTCATTTCACATGTTTACATTAAGTGTTCACACTTCACTTTCAATTGTTGTCTGAGTCATTATAGTGTCGTCTGTGATTGTCACAGCAGTTCTGAATGCCTTCAAATATTGAAGTTGGTTTTGTGAGCCTATGTTAATTCCCTGTGCTATATGACCCCAGGAACCACATTACTGATATTATGTGTGCATAGCACCTCGCTGTCCTGTATCTACATTACAGGTTATATCAGGCTAGTATAGGTAGCTCACTCTAAACATCATATTGAATTCAGTGAAAGTAGGCCTTATTTGAAACATGGCATGACCAAATCTTTGAATGGAGAAGACCATTTGTTGCACTAATGATTTGAACATTTTACAACTCATTTACAAGTCAATTTTCTTTTGTGTGCAGTGCTGTCTACTTCCATTGGTATACATACACCCATTTCAATGACTCCAAGCATTTATCATATAACTGTGGAAAGTTCAAAACTACATCATTTATTTTAGTCTTTTTTTCGTCATCTAATTCTTTTGTGCTAAAATTTTGGACCATAAACTTTTTGAGCATGCTAGCTGTTTCACGAGTTTTTTGCAGTAGTAAAATTATCATGTGGTTTGTATGAAAGCATTCCAACGGCAGCTGCAAAGAACCCTGACAATTTGGAATATTTAATTAGTTTTGTGTAGTAGCAAAATCATCTATGTTTTGAAGAGAGCAGGCCAATAGCAGTTGCAAAGAGTACTGACAATTCACGCATAGTCCACTCTATAAAAGGAATCTGTAGGTTGGGAAATACCATATCCAGTAACTTCCAGTGTTTTATGCATAAATTTATTGTAACAAACCTTTAAAGATTAGATTTTTCCATAGGAAGCTGATGAAACCTCTTTTACAGAAAGAATGTCATTTGAATTTTCACACCCAGTTTGTGGAGGAGTTCTAATGCATCCCTTGGTCCTCTATCCAGAGTAGCCATGTCATATATTTTGAGTAATTTATTCATTGTTGTTTTGCTCATCAGCAAGTTATGAACCAAAGACAGACACAATGTACACATCAGTGGATACAGACATCTTTGGTTTGATAAGTACCTTCTGCTTGTGCATAATGTAACTTTTTTCTCCATATTTGTCACTCTTCTGTTTTTTGTGTCTTATATGCCTACGATGGTAACAACATTGTTTCTTTTTTTTATGAGAAAGAATCTCGGGCATTAGGATGGGTGTAGCTAGATATCAGTTGTTACTAGCTGGTATCTACAGACATGGAAGAATAACATTGCTCACAAAAACATAACGAGCTGAGCATGCTGCTTTCTTTACAGCAAAAATATTTTTCAAATCTTTAACTATAGACATAATTCTGTTGGATAACTAAATACAGCTCAACTCAAACTGAGTGACTGAATCCAGTGACTGAGGTTAGTGTAGATTTGTTCTCTAGTTACATTTGGCATCACAAAATAAAAGTTTTATCACTTCAAAATATGGAAAAAAGAATGGGTCTTTACACTTTAGTATGACCAATAGTTTTTTGTGAAAATATATAGCAGTGTCATCTTAAGTAAGATAATTTTAAATATCATATCTCATTATGATAAACAACATACTAAAGACTGAACTAGCATAAAAAATGGACACAAAGTAGTGAAAACTACCTTAGACTGAGCAAAATTTCACAAGTTGTATTACAATAAGTTGAAAAAATAAGTATACGAAAATAGATAAGTTCATTTCTACAAGTCTTCTAAACCATCATTTAAAAAACGTATATTTTTAGAGTTCACTTATAACAGACAAACCATTTGGCTGATTGTCACAAAACCTGGGTTGTACATTGGGCCGTCTTATTAATTTAAATTAATACCTTATGTCTGTGTGTTTGCTCAGACACTTTTCCAGAAAAGTGAAGATACATTTATTTATAGAGAGACTTTAGACAGTTTAAATCTAAACTCTTGAAATACAGTGTGTTTATATATATACACACACACATATATATATATATATATTACGTTGTCAAGAAATTAATGTTGTCTTTTTTTTTAGATGAGAAAACCCAAACAACTTGTATGTCAAAATAAAACATTTATTAAATAGAAACAGTCTCCATTCTTATTGATGATGCTTTTCCATCTTACAGTCAGGATGTTAATGCCTTTATTAAAGAAAT